AGGATAGTGGCGATGGTAGGCAGCAACAACTTGACATCCTCAACCATGTCATAGGCTTCAGCCTCAATGACTAGGGCTTCATTCTTCATTAGACCTATAGAAAAAGAAGAGCATTGAGCAAAAGAAGGCTTAGGTTTAGTAACTAAGAAATAAAGGGAGGTTTGGTGTATACCTAAGGAGTCATCAACAGTATCTGGAAGATTACCGCTGGGCATCTCAAATGTGTTGTCTTGAGGATCATTTTTATGTATCTGAGGAATTTCATAAAGAGAAACCTCAGGTCCTGTGGTGATGGCTTCACCAATGGTGGGGACAACCACCACGGAATCATCAGCACGTGTAGTACAAACCAAAGAAGAAGGGGAGGAGAGAATGGTTGAGAAAAGAAGTGGAGGATCAGTAGTGGCAATGTTAGGAATCACACATTCAATGATTTGAGTCACTGAAGTGGTTTGGGTAGGAGCCACAGATACAACAACATCTGAAAATATTGCTGAAGAGCTTGGGAGGGTTTCAGTAGGTGCCTCGAGGGTAAGGCAAATTTTAATAGTTGAGACCTTTTGAGAGGTCTCAGCTAGTTTGGTTGGCTTCCCCTTTGTGGCATTCTTAGACCTCTTTGATGGAATAAGAGGGGCTTCAGATGGTGTCCTCTTGTAAGAGGACGAGGTTGTAGTGGCCAGGATAGAATGAGGGGGGTTTGCCACAGTCTTAACCACTGAAGAAGTAGAAGAAGGAGGAGGAGGAGGAGTGTTGTGTATTCTCAACATTGGAGCGAATAGGCCAACATCTAAAGACTTTGTCTTATGATCAAGAATCCTTAATCCAAGCCGACAGATAGAGAGGTCACTCTCAGTGGGGTACCTGGTAGCAAGATACATTTACTCAAGAGTTTAGTGATAAAATAAGAACACTTAATCATTTCTTTTATATATCACTGAGTATTGCTTAGTGCTTAAGGAATTAGTCCTTAACATTCAGCATTCCAAGTTCGCTGATTAAGATGTTAATCTTATCTTATCAAGCGACTTTGTAAAAAGGTCAGCGAGTTGGTACTCAGTAGATACGAAGTGAAGTTCAATATTACCATTAATAACATGATCTCTGATAAAATGATATTTGATCTCATTATGTTTGGTCTTGGAGTGAATTACAGGGTTGTTTGCAATTCCAATGACACTTGTGCTATCAGAATAGATAGGGATCTTTGAGAGCTAAATATCATAGTCACTAAGCTGGTTTTTCACTCATAAGATTTGAGCATAACAGCTTCTAGTGGCAACATATTCAACCTCAACTGTTGATGTGGGCACTGAGTTTTGCTTTTTACTTGTCTAACTCACCAACTTTCCACCTAGAAGCTGACAACCTCCAGTGGTGCTTATCCTATCAATTTTGCAACCTGCAAAATCACTATCAGCATAACCAATTAGGTCAAAATCTGAGTCCATGGGATACCAAAGGCCTAGATTAGGAGTTCCTTTTAGATATTCGAATATGCATTTTACAGCAATCATATAGGACTCCTTAGGTTTAGATTGATATCGTGCACACAAACAAGCAGAGTACATAACATCTAGTCGAATAGTTGTGAGATACAGCAGGGAGCCAATCATTCCTCTATGAATAGCAACTTCTACAGGCCTTCCATTTGGATCCTTGTTCAGCGAGAGAGAAGGAGCCATTGGAGTTTTCATAGATGAGTTGTTGGTTAAATCTAATTTTTTTTAGCATATGCCTAACATACTTACTTTGATTAAAGATACCTTTATCTGATTGTTTGATCTGAAGACTTAGAAAGTAAGTCAGTTCTCCCACCATGCTCATATGATATTCTTTCTGCGTATAACGAATCGAAAATACAAAGAGAGATTAGTGGAACCAAAATAACATCATCAACATAAAATTGGACTAGAATGATATGACCCTTAACTTTCCTAAGAAATAGGGTCTGTCAATCTTTCCACGGACAAATTTCACATAAATGAGAAATGAATAGAGAGTATCATACCAGGCAGGAAGGGCTTGTTTTAACCCATAAAAAGTTTTATCTAATCTATAGACATGATTAGGATACTTGGGGTCAAGAAACTCTGGAGGTTGTTCAACATAAACTTCCTCATGAAGTTTTCCATTTAGAAAAACGCTCTTTACATTCATTTGAAAGACTTTGAAGTCTCTATGGGCAACATAGGCTCAAAAGAGTTGAATAACTTCGAGTTTAGCCACTGGTGTGAATGTTTCATCATAATTGATACCTTCTTCTCGCCTATATCTCTGAGCAACATGACGAGTCTTGTTTCGGGTTACAATTCCTTGTTCATCTAATTTATTGCGATAAACCCACTTGGTGCCTATCATAGTTTTGTCAGATGGATGCGGGACAAGGTACCAGACTTGGTTCTTATCAAACTCAATGAGTTTTTCTTGCATAGCAATGACCCAACTTGGGCCAGTGATAGCCTCATTGATTTTATTGGGCTCAACTAAAGAAAGAAAGTTGACAAAGAGACATATATAATCTAGACCACATCGTGTCTGAATACCTGCACTTGGATCACCAAGAATTTGATAGATTGGATGGTCTTTCTACCATCGTTGAGCTTGTTGAATATGATCTTCTAAGATTTGAAGCTTAGGCATAGAAGATTAAACATTAGCAACAGATTCTTCAGCAATAGGTTGGATTGCTAAAGGAGCCTGAGAGAGCGATTCAGCAACTAATAGAGGTTCAGTGACTGAAGGAGTTTAATGACTGAAAGGTCAATGTTTGAAGTAGACGGGGGTAAGTGGACGGTGTGAATGGCAACAATCCCTGAAGAGGATTCGACTTCACTACTAGTCACATCTGAAACGATATATGGATCATCGTTAGCTTTTGGAGGATCAGTGTTCAGTTGATTGCTGAAGGAAGCTTCAGGTTGTCCATAGTGAGATATCATCCAGTAATCTAACTCTTCATCATTTTCAAAGATGGGTTTAGAGTTAGCTGATTGAGACTCATCAAAGGTGACATGAATAGATTCCTCTATTGTTTGTCGTCTTTTGTTGAATACTCTAAAGGCTTTGGACACTGAAGAATATCCAAAAAAGATCCCTTCATCAGCTTTGGGATCGAACTTTCCAAGTTGGTCTCTATTGTTTAGATTATAACAAGTACAACCAAATATATGAAGAAAACTGAGAGAAGGCTTTCTGTTATGAAATAGTTCATAAGTTGTCTTCTTGAATCTCTTGATGATCAAAAATCAATTATGTGTCAAACAAGCAATGCAAACAACTTCAGCCTGAAATTGAGTAGGGAGACGAAATTCACTGAGCACTGATCGAGCAGCTTCAATGATTGTTCGATTTCTTCTTTCAGTGACCCCGTTCTGTTGAGGAGTTCTCACTGCTGAGAAGTTGTGTGAGATTCCCTTGTTCACAAAGAAGTCATCAATGGTACTGTTTTTGAATTCAGGGCCATGATCACTCCTAATAGACTGTACTCTGATGTTGTTCAATACTTCTATGTGTTTTTGACAAACAAAATAATTTCTTCAGGTGCATCACTCTTAGATCTGAGAAAGAAGACCCAAGTGTACCTGGAATACTCATCAACAATGACAAGTGTATATTTCTTTCAAGCTATAGATTGCACGTTGACTGGACCAAATAAATTAATGTGCAATAGTTGAAGAGTAGAAGTCACTAAAGAGACTTTCTTAGATTTGAAGCTAGCCTTTGTCTGCTTCCCTTTTTGGACATTGAGCAAAGAGATTACTTTGCAAAGGAGTCATTGTCGGCCCCTATATTGTGTCTTTCATGTTTTAGGGCGGTTTCATGATTATCAACTAGAGGTCATCTCATGGACGAACTCATAGAAGGGCATACGGTGGCACGTGCCACCGTATTATCTCTCTGTTGAAAGATTAAAAATTTACGTTTATGAAATGTGCAACCGTATCGTTTAAAATGTGTAACTGTATGATATTCAAAAGTTCAAGAAGGTGCAACTGTACCTCGTAATCAACCAAAAACCAAAAATAACTCTTGAAATCAACCGAAAGAAACTCGTGAAATAAACCCAAAAACCAGAAAATGTCCCTCAAAATCGATAAAAAAAAACTAAGAAATTCATGGTAATCAAGCAAAAAAAACTTTAAAAATTCCTCGAAACAGTAGAATTAGGCTAAAAACAAATCGAGCGATATTGAACGTTAGTAAAACAATTAAGACATGTCGATAAAAACCGTGCTTTTTGTAATTATTTTGTCTATATTATATGGTGCCACCATATAAAAAAGTTTCTTGGTCCGTTCCTGGTCATCGATCGGAGAAAAATCGAACAAAAAAATCTTTCATGTTATATCGATGCGTATCGATACTCAACCATCCTCGGATTAAATGAGAAAAATCTTTTCACGAACAAGTCTATGATACACAGTCTGATCATTGATTTACACTCATTGTTAGTTTATAATTCTTTGTGTTCCGCTTTAATTTCATATATTTTGTTTATTATCTCAGTCCGATCCCCTTGTTTTACATAAAGCCTAAAAGTCAATAATCTTTCATGGTCAGTCCCTGTGGAGTCGACCCCACTTATCACTATTACAATTGAGGTTGTAATTTAAGGTAATAGGAAATTATTATTTGTAGGACTCGAGACCCGTCAACCACTATGTTTATACACATTTCGTATGAACCCGAATCTTACGCGACACATTCTCCACCACCACCATTTATTTAATAAAATCAGACAATATGCTGTAATTAATATTATTATAAAAATAAAAATATATGATTGTTAATATTTTTGTTTTTGTTTGAATATCTAATTAAAAGAATATGAAAATGTAACGTTTTTATATTTCTTGCCATGGGGTTAAAATTGTAATACATACAATACAAGGTAGTAAATTGTAATAATGCAATACACCAAGGGCTGAAGTTGCCTATTTTTCTTTCGTTTGGAACACGTATAAAAAGAGAGATAAAGCCAGAAAAACAGGTTTATTTTCATTGCGTCGATGTCGGAGGCATACGAAAGAGTGAAAGGGGGCAGGCTGACCTTCAAAGGAGGAACCCTAGCTTCAAGAAGCAAATCCATTGATAAAAAGAAGAAGAAAAAGCACAAGACTCGATTGGATGCAGATGCTGATATCACAGAAGAAATTCTCACCGGAGACGCCGCTACTGCTGCCGTGGAAGAGGGTGGTGGTTCAACGGCTGCGGAAGGTGGAGCAGCAGGAGGAGATGACGGTATATACACGATTGATGCGGCGAAGCGAATGAAGTATGATGAGTTGTTTCCCGTGGAAGCTAAGAAGTTCCAATATGATCCGAAAGCGAAGGTGAAGTCGGTTGAGGATGCTCTTGACGATAGAGTGAAGAAGAAGGCTGATCGTTATTGCAAATAAGTTTTCAATTGAAGGTAATGATATACATTGATTGATGTTGAATTAGATGGGTTTAATATCGATTTGCTGTGATTTTCTGCCTAGGCTTTTGTTATGTTTTCGGTAATTCGTTGTTTCTTGGTGTAATTGTAAGTTCTTTTTACTTTTATGTAGACAATGTTACATAATTCAACATTATGCTTATGGTTAAAGAATGCCTAAAAGTCTAAGAAGCATTAGAATTAAAGTTGTTTACGGTTTATATTGTGGGTGAAGTGCTTGCTTCTGGATTGCTATACCCAATGTCCTCAGCTACTGTTCGAGAAATTGCTTAAGATTGGGAAAGTAGTCCATCCATTCAAGTGTTTTACATGTTTCTTTCTTTTTATAATCTACATTGGTCAGTACTCAGTAGTAATATACTTAGGTTATCACGTGCACATTATTTATCTTGACTTGGTAACAAAATTTGGTGTCCTTAGCGTCCCGTTGGTTAAAGGTTTTTGTTTATTAAATTTATAATGGTATTTCCTGTTGTCTTTGAAGTGTTCTTATGTGAGTTTTTTTAATGAAATATTTTATGTTTAAACTTGTGAAAGTCACTTGCTATTGCAGAAAATTGTATCCTGTATGGGTTATGCATCTTAGATAATGTATATGATTCACACCATGGATATTTACAAACTTCTTCTTTACTTGAGGGGAGCTTCTCCTTGATGGACTTGGTCATGATGTTATTGCAGAAGCCCTTTGGCGTCTCGTATACCATGCTTAATATGCTTTTGGCATACCCAAATTTCACGGATGAGCCTTGGAGCAACTAGTAAGCTTGCTTTGTTGTGATCTTAAGGCCACAGGTTCCAGTCTGAGAAATGATCTTTTTGAAAAAATGCAAGGAAAAAACCACAGAAAAAAGTTTCCTTCTCAGCTCACAATATTGAGGAGCCTAGGTACATGGGGTTGCCGTTTATATAATTAGATTAACATAATGACTGTTAGGATGGGGTTTAGGATGGATTCCATGGATAAGAACTTCTTTCTAGCTTTAACATAATGACTGTTAGGAACTTAGGATCGCGATAACCGCTACTTCAATTCACAGTCCTGACTGCATTTTCATATTTTGACCAATGTAACAGCATAGCCCGTGTCACATGCGTTACACACAAACAACATCCAGTCTGTAATTTTCACATTAGTTTGAGGTAGGGTGGCAGCTGGAGCAAGGGCAGAACATTTCTTCACTCTTTGAGATATGGTTGTCCTATACTAACCGCAATAAATTAATTTTGGGCACCCAAATTAATTGAGATCTTTGCTTAGATTCTCAAGCTAAAATTAACTCTTTGCCTATTTGTAATTATTACAAAAGATTGATTGCAATGACTTTAATCCACCAGATTTCCCTATGTTGTCATTTTGTAAGGGTATTTCAGTTATTTCACTAATTTTTGTAATGCATTTCTTAAACCATATTCCCGGTTAGATATTGCAGTTCTTTGGGACAGAGGTGGGTATGCTCATAATTTTAAATACTTTTTCATTTGTTTGTTATTGTGGTGCTATGGTATACTGCCCTTATTTCTATCGACATGGATGGTTGATAGTATAGTCATGTGATGATATTAATTCTATATAGATGACATTTTTGTAACTAAGTTATGGTAATATCTTATTGATTTATTGTGGTTCTGCTAGAACTTTCTTGCTTTCTACATCCCTGTTATAATCCCAATCTGTTGCATAGGTAAATCTGCTTCCTTGTTTTAGCGACTTTCAACCATTTTTCTCTTTTTTTCTCTCTGTATGCTCTTTAGATATTCATCCTCACTTACACCCATCGAGTTAGTAGTCAAATAACAGAGTGGAGATTGATTTATCTTGTAGAACCACCTGTATCATGCCAAAGATTGAAACATCACATGACCTTTCCTTCACTGTTAGAAATATAAGTCATTGACTATGATCATCATCCTCTCACTCAGACACTACATATTCATTCGATATCACAACCTTACTAGAACTCTGAGGGCATAATCTCTGGGGTTTATTCCTGTATCTGAATTGAAACACCAAGCCAATGTGAAAGGGAAGTTTAGGAATCTCATTCTTGTGTTACTGTTGGCATCAAGTGATTTGCTTGAAATTACCAAAGGGCCTTTGGTCTAGCGGTATGTGAGTCCTAGGCCTTCTAGGAGGTCAAGGGTTCAAACCTCACCAAAAGTGAGGAGGGTGTGTGAGTTTATTTGTTCTATTTGCCGTATAATTATATACTTAAAAAAAAAGTGATTTGCTTGAAATTTATCCACTTTTGAATGCAATCAGATATTGTCTATTTTGGTCCTTACCTGGAGTACCTAGCATTCATACTAATGTTAGTTTGATTAATTAAAATCCTCCGATTCTCTTACCTTGTTCAAGTTACTTATGGAGGAATCTAGATCTTAAGTGTTCAATATTTCAATGACATAGTCTCAACTGTAGTTTTCTCTTGGATAAGCAGATTAGTTTTTCTACACTTCCCATGCCCAAGTTTTTAGACATTGGTGCATCTTGACATGCATATGCATCTCTGTGGTAAGAGAGCACACGGACACTCTGCTTTTTTCAACAATTTTACTTCTTTCTTAAATCTTGGATCCGACCCCATCGCTCATCACTCGTTCCCAACGCCGAAAACTGCTGTTCAAGAGTTGATAAGTCTGTATGCATATCTTAGATTTATCGTAGTTCTTCGATATTCTTCCACAATTAGGAGTTGTTGTAGATGTAAACGGAACTATGAAACTACAATCACTAAAACTGCGCTATCAAATGTAGATAAGTATGTATACCAAAACAAAACTGCTGCTCAATCTTGTGTTTTTGGAATGTCATGAAAATTGGTACCTAAATCTTATTTCTTCTGTTTTGTGGTATGTTACTGCTACGCTCAGGAAGATACATGTAGGTGAAAACCAAATTATAATCACTATAACCTTTTCTTATCAAGACTATTTGTTGTTTTTCAGCTCCCGGATCTTCCAAACAATGATTTTTGGTTTCTTGGACTTGCGTGAGATCAACACACAAGTAGTTCCCAGGGTCACCCTGCTCATCAATATGGAACTGAATCCTCTACCTACCAAAATGGGTGTGTTGTACTTTCGGTTTTATTTAAAATACAAGCAGGCTGAAGTATGTATTACATGCTTAAATCTTACTCATGAACTAGGATCCTATGTATCAGTCTATGCATCATTCTGGGTACATCTTCATATAATATAATCTGGTAAACTTAACTAGTTATTTACGACCTGTTTCTGTAGCCGGATATACTTTTTGATAGGCCAGAATTTCTGCAATCAAATGTTCAACGTGTCATACATCGGTAACCGGTCACAGTTTGCAGGAAGCCATCCTATAGTTTGTTTTTCGTTGTCATATATCACCATTTTATCTTGCATCGATATATCTGCAAATTGCAAAGCATAAATGATTAGGCAACCTTTGTGTAATTGGTCTAAAGGTATGTTATCAGTTGAAAGAAACACAAATCATACCTCCAATTATGTTGAAATTCTCAAGTCCAACTTCAGTGCCATTAAGAACTCCCAAACAGACACTCCCTTTCGACTGCAAAACCAGAATAAATTCAATTATCTTTCAATTTGTTTCAACTTGAAATCCTTTGTTTTTTTATCTTCGTGAAAAAGAAGATTACTTACTGAGATTAGAAGATAGCCTTCAAGGGGGATTTCAAACTGAGTTTTGGATCTCCAACCACTAGAAAAGCTCAATGCCAAAGGCTTGAAGTACTTCCTTACATCCTTCATGCTTCTGAATGGTCTTCTTCCTTTCCAGCAAAACGGTAGAGTTTCGTCCTCCACTGCTTCTCGTATAGGCTTACCGTTCAATTCTTTTTTTACCTGAGAATACCAAAAGAAAATGATTAACGACCAGTAATTTATATGTGTGTGTATATATATATATTCATAGACACACACATATATACATGTGTATGGTTGGGTTCCGTGAGAAGAAGAGTTAATGTAAGAAGCGTAATAAGGGATCTTCACCCTTGGATGCACATTAGAATGAGATGCACTGAGATGCACCAAATCAATCCCCACGATATTCATGGTTGGGTTTGAGATTGTAGGTGATCAAAGGTCCAGACCTCTTTTTACGCTTCTCACCTTAACTCTCCTTCTCACACGATCCTTCGCCTACATGTGTATCTATATGTGCATGCATTTAGATACATGTGTGTGGACTTATATGTTCAAGTGTAATAGTTCAAACTTCCATAGAACAAGTGGAAAGTTGAATAAAGAGTTAAAGTTAGAAGACTTACCAAATAAAGTAAGCCTTCATAAGCCTGGGAACTTAGGTATGTGTAGGAGCTTCCACTGTCAAAAATTACAAGCAGATTCTTAAGACCAGTTGCCTTCCCTCCATAAATCACCTCTCCAAAGCCAGGTGAATAATGCTTCCTGAAACAAAAGGTCATCAAACTTCATAACACTATAAACCCATTTGGTTCAATCTGAAATGCAAATTAAACTCGTTTAACTTAATGAGTCAAGTTCTGTAACACCAATGTTCATAAATCTTACAATCAAAATGTAAACGAGCCTATAAAGCTTGAAATTCAGGTCATAATGTGTAACTAAAAATTGTTAAACAAGCATCGAGCTCGAGTATGACATTATTTTCTCGAGCCTTCACCAAACAACTTGCTACTTGACTCGTTAATAGTGCCCTATGCTCGTGCTGTGTGTGCAGAAAGCACTGATATGGGAATTCAACAAGCACCACTGCTTGAAAGGGTATTTACCTATAATCACGTGACATTGGGGTCGATATCACACGTGAAGAATCGTAGATGTCGTCTCCAAAGAAGAGGAATCCGCCTCCACGACTGCTGAAACAGTGTCCAACGACGTTTTTTATTAGACCTTGACTATGAAGCTGTGAAACAATGCCGGTTTTACCCTTCCCGAGGCCAAGAACTCCATCTAGAGGTTGATAAGATGGACCAGGGATCTGATCATATCCACACCTGTGGACAAGAGAACAAAAAGTAGATTCATTATGAAGACCACCTCTCAGTAGTAGGTCCTTAAGATCAAGACTGCAAGTTGCAAGTAAATAATTAAAACCCAATGTTTGTCCAACTGGAATCTATTCATTTAAGCATCCATGCTAGAATGATTAAATCACCCAACTCTTCGTAGGTCCAAACTTCTCGGTGGGCAAATGAGTAATTTTAGTCGTAAATGTTGCCCAGGAGGGAAATGTTGTGATGTAGGCCATGCTTAGCGACCATAATCTAGCTGAAAAACTTAAAAGCCTATAAGGTCGTTTTTTGTAACACAACTTCAAATAACGTCTCAATAAGGTCCATTGACTTTTCCAATTATTATGTTGTCAGTTGGCTTATCAACCAATTATTACTAAACATGACTAGTTTAACGGTTTGCTTTTCGACTAGTTTATCAGTCAACAACAAACTTATTAGCTAGTTTACCAAACATAACCTTATTTAGAGGGAATGACTGTAGGTTATTTAACCAGCAAAGGAAAATAGTATTTTGAACCCTTCTGGATCCAAATCCAAATACCTAGTATTTCATAATGATGATAATGATCAAATAGGTAATTTCAGTGTCAAAAGTTGTCCAAAAAAAGGAAACATTGCAATTTTTATGTGACAGCGAGCAAGGGAAAGCAGTGTTACGAACCCAATGGCTAGACGAGGAGCTATTTGAATTCCGTTGGTAAGATTGAGAAGGGAGACATCATTGACAAGGACACCGAGAGACGAACCACCATCTGCATACTCAACCTCGTAATCACATTGATTCGGATCATCACATCTATGATCTCCGGAGTGCAGTGAAGCACAAAGAGGATCTTTACACGGCACTAGGTCGTTATTTGGTCTGTAATAAGCATGAGGAGCCTACACATGCAAAGAAAACAGAGTTAGATGGTTCACTCAACAGGGCTACATGCAACATGTAAGTTAGAAAATAATATACAAAAGAAAATCAAATGAGGCCGGTATATCCGACTAGGATCTTGGATTAGGGTGGAAGATCTACACAGACTTGTCCTCTATCTTGGAGCTTATGGAAACACTGCTTCAAATAAAAACTAGCTTAGAAGCTAGTTTATCGCTTACAAAACAGAGTTTTTTCAATAAGCCAAAAAATAAGCTGGTATGACCTTAAACCCTCTTCGACCCTATAAAGCCGGGGACCCTTGGTGCACCAAGGTCTAGCCTTCTTTTTTCCTTTTGGTTTTTGAGGTTTATCATGAGAATTTGATTGTTGACAACCATCTTGGAAAAGTACCAAGAAAGAAATGGGTATGCATTATATTTAACAAAATCTATAATAGCATGAATGGAAAAAGAATGGAATGTCAAACTTATTATACCATGAAGAACAACCTGAGTGCAATGTACACAAGGGGCATCACACTGAAGCCAAGTGAGGTCGCTGCCCGTGTCGGGATCAACAAAATAAGGTCGCGAAGGATGTCCTACGTTTATCTGAGCATAATAATACCTGGTTTAAACCATTAATCAGATTTCATCGATACAAACCACATATTCATTGACATAGGAACTATCTAACATGGTAAGAGGCCAAGCAAGGGAGGGGCGCTGAGGTGCCACTTAGGTTACTCGAGAGCTGTTTTAGTTTTTCCTACCTTTTATGTCTTATTTATGCTAGTATTAGTATTTCCTTGCTGTATCATTTAGTAGTCTTTTCCCGACCTAGTAGTTTTTGTTTTATTGTACACACTTTTCTGCTACTTTTCTCACATGCATCCTTGTAAATCTTGTTTTAAAAGTCAAAATCTTGACAGAAACAACCTCTCTACTAGATCTCAACATTGTGTTGAATATATTAGTTTCGTTTGACAACAACCTAAAACTAATAAGCCATTTACCAAACGTTTTATCAGGTCAATGCTTAGAAGACTTTTTGCCCAGTAATCACTTACCAGCAAAACTCGACACCTTACTTATCTTATTAGGTAATTTTTTTAGCCATCAAAATAAATTGTTGATAAGCATTTACCCATGGGAATAACTTTTGATAGGATTCCCCAAAACAAGTAGCAATAATCATCAAAACATCTAATTGTTCCACTATGTTATCTATACTATATTATAAACCATTTGACAGAACTCTTAAAAACCATTTTTTATGTATGAAGTATTGTTTTTTATGCATATTACTTAAAATTCAAGATTACAAATATATTGTACGTAAATACAACTTATTAAAGTTTTATGTTTAAATTTGTGTAACTAACTGGAGATAAACATAATCAAATACAAAATAAACATTTCATTTTAAATATAAAAAAATATATATATAATTAGAAAAATCATTAAGTTTTAACAAAATACTTAATTATTATCCTTATAAAAAATTATATTATTAAATAAAAAATAAATTATTTTGTTACTAAATCTAAATTAATTTGATACTAATATTGATATATTTATTTTTAAAATTTTATAATATCTTTAAATTTATATTTTATTTAAAAATAAAATATAACCACATAATCCGTGTTATAACATATACAAACACAGAATAAAAAAGAAACATTAAGGGGGTGTTTGGGCTTGCTTATCAAAACGACTTATTGACTTATTTCAGTCTGGCACYGGAGATAAGCCATTTTGGAGTGTTTGGGTAAAAAAAAAAAACTGCTTATACCGGTACCAAACCGGTAATAAGTCGTTTTTGATAAGTTAATCCATAG